CCAGTAAAAAATGATATAATTTATTATTTAATTCAAACAGAAATTTGGAATAAAAGAAAAATTGAGAGTAATCAAATATAATTTGGACAAACGAGAAAATTGAATAACGTGTATATGATTCAATTTCAATGAAAGATAAACAATAATTTCTCCACAAATTCGTTGTAATTGGTGAGTATTATTTGAAAAATATATAAATAAAATAACATCGGAGAAAATCGATGATTAAATTCCTTGCATTTTAACGGATTTCATATAATTTTCAACTTACCCTATTTCCGCAAGCCCTCAAAGCTAGAAACCATATACATACATAGACTCAAGAAAAAACTCATAACACTATTCCAAATAAATTATTTTCTGAGATTGATACCATCAGAAAAAACCTAAACACGAGAAGTTAATTGTCTTCGTTTAGTAAATATTTCGATAATTTTGAAAGTCAAAAAATATTTATTAAAAGAACGATTGCAATAAACTGTGGAATTAATACGCTAATTCAATTTAGATAACGTAAAGAGACTAATCGGTCGTCGCAAAATTCTTCGAAATGCAGAAGAGGAGAAGAGATATATCAAAAAATTGAGAAAACGAAAGAGGGAAAATAAAGAACAATCGAGAAATCGAAGAGTGTCAACGAAAAAAATTAATAAAAAATCGTCACTAATGAAAAGAATCCAAACATATCGCAACAAACAAAAAGGATTACATGCAGAAAATGACCACCATAATGATGAACACTACATTGGCCCAATGGATATTCGATGTTATTTTTGCAACGCTTATCATTTTAAAGGTGAAAGTATGGAAAAAAATACTTTCAATGATTGCTGCAGTCACGGAGGAGTTTCACAGGATTTCTCACATAATTTTCCTTCTGAGCTTAAATCATTATTCGAGGGCACTCATCAACATTCGTCAAATTTCCTAATGGACATTCGAAGCTACAATTCTTCATTATCATTTGCGTCATTCAATGCAAATTTAGTAAATTTCAAAGGTCAACGTCCTGGGCCTTACGTTTTCAAAATCAGAGGAAACATATATTATCAAATCAATACGGCATTGTATCCAGAACCACAAAACAATGCAAGTTATGGACAATTATTTATTATATTATTTATGAACCGTCATGGCGGCGATGTAGTACTGACGTGTGTATAAACAAGTGTTAGAATATAGTTCTTTGGAGAGAACAAAACCACACCCTGGTGTAAATTTTGGTGCTGTCCTGCCCTCCGAAATGGCCTCATCATTTTGAGATATAAATCTCGTCTCACCCACATAAACCGGCATTTATCTGTGGCTTCCTCTGGTCGACATCCTTCGAGATGCCGTGGCACTCGAGCACCATCTTTGGGACAAATTCAGCCACCTCTTCACCAAAGCCTGGCACAACCGGTAAAACAGCTCTGACGAAGTCAGGTGGCTCAGGGCCTATTGGTGTATCACCAGCGACGAAAACCCAAATTACACGAGGGAAACTCCCAACAGCACTATCACTGGCCAAACACAGAGACCCTCACACCCCCACTCTGTCAGAATACCTCAAGAGGAAAAGAGATGAATTGGACACCAAAGAAGAAAACCCCGAGTCTCTGATCCCCCAGAAAGACCCTAAAATACCAAGCGCTGATTCTATACACTCCCCTATTCTCTCACTCTCAGGATCAGATTCCTCCCACCTCTCCTCCTCCTCCCCAGATACTAGCCCAAACGGGAGCCTCCTCCTCAGCACTGCAGTTGCCCCTCCACTTACCCCAGATATGGAGGCGCTCCTACAAAAACTCGAAGATATGAGAAATGAGACGAAGGAAGGCTTTGCCACCCTTCGCTCTGAGAATGAGGTAAGATACACCCACCTCGAATCCCTCATTACGACACTGTCTGCAAACCACGAGAAGAAATTGCAGGAACTCAAGATGGAGGTTAAATCTGATATTACAAATGCCGAAAAGAGGATTGACTTGAAGTACGATAGACGGAACTTTGAGGTTGAAAACCTGAAGTCACAACTCAAGGCCACTTCTTCCCCCTCTCCCCCGTACATTGCTGGAGAAATCCAAAAGCAAGTCGAGGCCAAGTTCGAAGAACTATCAAAATCAAATTCACTTTCAACAGACAAAGAAAATCATGAACTCCTGAATGACAGACTCGAGGAGCTGGAAAAACGAGCTATTAGGAACAACATCATCATCTCAGGATTGAGAGTCACCCCAGGTAGGGTTAAGGAAGAGATTGAAGCGTTCCTCTTAAACTCACTCCATTTCACCACCTCCCTCAAAGCACCCAAGATCATCGGGAAAAGAGGGAACAGTAACCTAACCCTGGTAGAATTAGAGTCGTTTGAAACGAAATTGGCACTTTGGGATGCGAAGAAGAAACATCCACCCGTCACCGAGATCTTCATCAACAGCGACCTCACACGTAAGGAGAGAGAGACGGCAAAATTCATCAGGCACCAAGCAAGGGATTTCAAGAAGCAGGGGGCGACGGTTGAAATCGGATACGAGAAGTTAGACGTGGATGGAATCCGATATTTCTGGGACAAACGAACTGGTAACCTGAAGAGAAGTCGCGAAGCAGCACCAAACCCAATTATACTAAACCCAAACCCTCCCACATACCCAAATAATATCCCTCCCCTCCTGCAAATGCAACCCCCAACACACGGATCAACCACCCCCCCCCCCCCCCCCTCCCCCCCCGACCCC